CATATATATATATATATGTGTGTATAGCTTTTTAATTGAGCTCACTCGCTCGCGAAGTAATTTTCGAAAAGCGCATAAAAGATTTGATCAATTGCATCGGTTCAAGATTAAATGACATTCACGGTTTATCGGTGTGATAATTAAATCCCGTATAAGCAATTATCTTCTCGCCGCGAAGATTCCTGCCTGCATTACGAATCGACGAGGCACGCGGTGGATTATCTTCGTGTTGAAAGAAGATTCCTGCCATGCAACGTCATTGAAGGCATCAGGATCTTCGGTACGGGTACGCTGTTTGACAAGTGCAGGAAATAATAATAATTTTCGCGTAATTGATGGAGCGACGCGTCGGAGCTATCCGTATATACTTTTTGCGAACCGTGCACGTCCATATGCGCGCGTCCGCTTTCTCCAGAATTACGTCATGCGCACCCCGGTTTCTTTCGTCCGGTTATGGGATCGCGGACCGGACTTGACCAGACACGCCCGGTCTCTCGGCGCAATTCGCCGCGGCAAATTCGCCGAAATTCCTTTCGTCCGGGTCTCTTTGCAACGCATCGTATTGGAAGAGATCTCTTTCTAAAGTCTCCTCCGCCGTCGTTATTAAAACTCACGTGTCAACCCCTTGACAATTCTACCGGGACGTATCCAAATTGACAGATTACTAATTTGCTAACGAGCAAGGAAATTGTTTCACTGGAAATGTGTAATATTTGCTGAGAAGTTAAAGATTATATTTTTTCTTTCGGACAAATATCCTCTTTTTGGTCGAATTTTCGTGCAAGGAGAGCATCTGTCATAACAGATTTCGCGAACGAGGCTACGTTCGACAGCTCACGTGGCCTTTTCCTTTCGCGCGTTAATTCGTTCTATGAGTTCGATTTTTCGGCCGACATCGAAACGAAGCCCCAGGCGACGCGTTTTTTATGTCGGCATCGTTACGTCGGGAAACGCCCGAGGGAGATAGCAATGCGTAACGTTTGTTCGTGCGTTTAACGTTAAAAGCAGAATTGCAAATGGAAAAAAAACCTTGCCACCGCAAAGCTTTTAGTGCGTAAAAATTTCACGCTACCCTCGGTTCCTGAGGGGTGGTGTCTTTGGAAGATTTCCCCTGCGTTATCAGAAAAAAATAAAATGTAAAGTTTTTTTAGAGAATGCATCAAACAATGATTCATTCATTCGTTCGTACTGGAAACACGTATAGGAGAACTCCGGTTTAATCCGGAAATTTGACAGAATCAATGGTCTTAAGGATCTACGGTGAATGATTATCGTGGCGCGTCGCTAAAAGGCGGGGATGTAACAACTCATACAATTGTAGCCTCGGGGAAACTGGAGCGAACCATTACTTTCGCCATTATCGCCCGCGGCTCGTCGGTTGGTCGATTAGGTCACACATCGAAACACAAGATACAGCATTGTCGGGAAATGTAAAATATCATAAACGTAAAATATGTTGATATAATAATACAATAAGATAGAATTATAGTTAAAATAATAAAGCTATTTTGCAAGAGATGCAGCGCATTCTTATTTGCGTCTTTCGATATTTCTACAACATGATAAAATCATACGTCTTTCTTTTATAATGCTAATCTAAATTCCGGTACCGTTGCAGAATTGCATTATAACGACTGCTCTAAACAATGACTATGTGTAAACGTGACACGTGACATGTAAATATGATGCAATGCGTTCTGGTTTATCATATATTTTGTTATACACGCCCTCGTTTCACTAACCCCGTCATTCGCTCTTTGGACCGAATTTGTCAAATCGACAAGGTCATCTTCCTTGCTTTTACAGACGACCTTCGAAAGATAAGTCATTGTCATAGATGTGGAATATGATAATCTTACGCACGAGCGTACGTAGTGAATTTCACATCGCGTCGCAAAGTCAGATAGATGTAAAAATAGAGCATCACACTTTTAAAATTTAAAACTATCATTTGGTCAAAGTTAGTCAACAAATAGATCAGTAAAATTTTAATTTTTTAAAAATAGAGAGAATTTAATTTAAAAGGCGACATTTATTATTAAAATTTCAAAAGAGAATTGTATAAAAAATAGTGATTTTAAAATTATAAAAAAAAAAAAAATGCATTGAGGGAAGTACGTTATAATTGCGCGTGTAAGGCATACATTTATCAGCAGGATCTCTTTCTCTCGGGAAAGTAGGAAAAAGACTTCCTGCTGTTTTTTTTCGGTTCTTCGCCTCATTTTAGATTAGAGTTAATGTCCGCCCAATCCCCGGATATTCCTCGAACTTTTTTCATCCCGAAACGTACAATGACATAATATTTATATAGTTTCTTTATATTCTCGATCTAAATTTGACAGTGTGCGATCGCTTCGCAATTTCAATTAGAATCCCACTCTCCCGAGTTTCTCTTTCGCGATCGTTGTCAGTTTGTCGTTGCGTATGTCACAAACGACATTATGCATAATCCGAGGAGTAATACTTGCGAGCGATTTTTACCTCGCGAGAGCGTAAGACTCGACGACACCTTTAATGGAGGATGAAAGTAAATCCGTTCCGATAAATCGCCGATCGACAAACGGATCGTTAGTAAACGCGCGCGAATGCGGCAAGAGAAGCACGTGGTGTCGAAACTTGCCCTGGTCCACCTACAACGGATTAATCGTGTCAAGGACTATAACGGCTATAATGCTCTTTCAGCCTCGCTGTAATAATTCTTTAACCCCGAGGATTTCTGTTTGATATCTCGCTATTTCTAAATAATGAACGAATGAATTGAATTAATACCAAAAAATTTAATTAAATATAAAAATATCCAGTACTTGCCTATTTTATATTTAGTCTTTGATTATTCCGAGAGAAAGATAGTTGACATTATATTAATATACAAAACAATTTTATAATTGCATTTAATAAAGAAGATTTAGTGACTATAATATTTTTGCCATAAATAAATATCATTTTCGAAAAAAATGGCAATAATGGTTATTTTTTTTTATTAAAGATAAAAATTAATTTTCCCTCAAAATTTTTTATTAAAATTTTTCCGATAAAAACGACGGTACCGCGGTTTAATGTCACGCAATGTATAGCGATCACAAAGTATTTTCATGACTTTTTCTTTATCGATTGCTGGTACTACAAATTGCTGCTAAATCTCTCCAGCAACGAAACGTTTCGCCAGTAATAGAGAGCGCTTCGAAATAGTTATCGATTTATTCAGAATAAACATTTCAGAATTTTTTGAATTAGCTAGACAATATTTTTAATAAATATCGAGTAAATAAAATAAAATTGTTTAAAAAATGAAAAATATGAATTAATTCTTGCAGAATTCGGATAGTGAACATTGAAAAGATATGCAATAAAGATTTTCTTTTAAGTTTCTTATTCATACACAATGTACGATAGGAACAGGTCTTATCATATCTAACATTGACAGATGTTGCAAACCATGTGATATATTTTTATCTTATCTTATTCTTTCTCGAAATTTCCTGGAAATAACTTTGACAGCTTCTTGATTAATTAATTGTAATATGATACTCAGAAATCTTGTATACTATTGAATATCTTTATTAAACATCTTTTTATGACTAGTATTTTTTGATAAAATATCAATGATATTTTTTTTAACAGATGGTTACCTACATCTGTATAGGTCTGATTCTCATTGTGATGCGGGATACAAGAGCAATTGGTGCGCAGGCGCACAAAACGAAGCAATACCAACGACACGAAGTGTTCTCCTCAGTTTCATTGTAGTGGCCGGTTCGAGAAGAGCTGCCACGAGGGTCAACCGAGGGCGAACCGTCACACACTTGCCATCAGGCGCTTGCGCCCTTCGAACACGGGAGTTAACAGACTCGGCGGATCACTAACTCGCTCTCAGCATGTCGTATTGCACGCGTGTTCTTCGTGCACAGGTAAATACGAAGGGAGAATCGAGGATCTGCGGAAAATCGCGAGATACAAAGGAATGCGCGCGCTCCGGAACCTCTCTCTTCCCTCCACTTTTCGCAGGAGGTCAATACTGTTTGACCCCTGACGATTGACGGGGTCTTCACGTCTTGTAACAGCGAGACTCTCCAGAAGCTGTGGTGCGAGTGATTGACGTTTTCCGGAGTGCGCGGGATGATCTTCGTGCTCAGAATCTCTCTCGTTGCTCCGACTTTTCGGAGCACGATGAACGAGCTGGAAAATCCGGCCATTGGAGAAGAAAAGGGCGCATACGGTGGACGCACCCCGATGCTCCACAAATAAATATTCGTAAATTCGAACGAGTCCAAAAATAAGGAATATCGCGAGATGAAATATATCCCAGAGACATTACGTAATCACGTGCCGAAGTGTGTGTATATATTGTTCGCTTTTAGAGGACGTTAGATTTCAATGCGTATCATATGGCGCAGGTGTGTGAAGGGGGCCGCGAGATTTAAAGTTGGATCGAAATGGTGGGGAGGGGGTTGTACCGAAAAAATAAAAAAATATATATTAAGAGGAAGAAATTGTGTAAAGCACGTATCGCATATAAAGGCGCTACTCATAATTGTTATTGCGTATTGTCGATGGTTATTTATCGTTATTTATTTAGATTAGTGTTCATTGCATCGCTTATCTACGAAAAAATATCTCTTTCAAGTGCAATAAATGTCACGCATCTCGGCTATAATTACGTAATTGTGATCAGAAATAAACGACATTGCGTAGCATATATGCATATAAAAGTTTTGGCACGCACCAATTGATAATATGATTTCTTTCTAAATCTATATATACACCTGTCAAACGCGTTCGAAAAAGTCAGCAAGATAATTCGATTACTTTGCAAGATGATTCTGTTTACTTTGCAGAAACTGTCCGCTTTAGCGGCGGACGTGCAGCAACGATGCTTCAGCGCGAGTCCATTGAGCTTCGCCGCCGCAAAAGTGGCAATATCAAAATTCGATTCGGCTAATTATCTGCCCTATGACAAGCTAGAAGAAAATCTGAAGATAGTTAAAAAGAGGTAAGGAGACAGAAAACGAGAAAATCGCTTTTGTATCGCTTTCTGAAACGACGTTTTTTCTTTCCAGACTGACTCGGCCGCTGACTCTGTCCGAAAAAGTTCTTTACTCTCATTTCGATGAACCTGATAAACAAGATATCGTCCGTGGCACCAGTTATCTCCGATTGCGACCGGATCGCGTCGCTATGCAGGACGCGACCGCGCAAATGGCAATGTTGCAATTCATCAGTTCCGGTAAGTTTACTAATCATCGACCTTTAATCACCAATATTAGGACTTTACAGATTATTGCGGTACTAAATAAAGAATTTTTTTCTCTTTCTCTCTCTCCCTCAGGTCTACCGAAGGTAGCAGTACCCTCCACCATCCACTGCGATCACTTGATCACGGCACAAGTCGGCGGAGCTCAAGATCTCAGTCGCGCCAAGGATATCAACAAGGAGGTCTACAGTTTTTTACAAACCGCTAGCGCTAAGTATGGTGTGGGCTTCTGGAATCCCGGCTCCGGCATCATTCATCAAATCATCCTCGAGAACTATGCCTTCCCGGGTTTGCTGATGATCGGCACCGATTCGCACACGCCGAACGGTGGCGGTCTAGGTTGCCTGTGCATCGGCGTCGGCGGCGCCGATGCTGTCGACGTTATGGCAAACATCCCCTGGGAGCTCAAGTGTCCCAAGGTGATCGGCGTGAAGCTAACGGGCGAGCTCAAGGGTTGGACCAGCCCCAAAGATATCATCCTGAAAGTGGCCGGTATTCTCACGGTCAAGGGCGGTACCGGTGCCATCGTGGAGTACTTTGGTCCGGGCGTTGACAGCATCAGCTGTACCGGAATGGCTACCATTTGCAACATGGGCGCCGAGATCGGCGCTACCACCTCAATCTTCCCGTATAATTACAGGATGCAGGATTACCTGAAGGCAACCGAACGCTCGGATATCGCCGCAGCCGCCGATCAACACAAGACGAGCTTGTTGTCGGCGGATCCTAACGCCAAGTACGACCAGATCATCGAATTGGACTTGTCAACTTTGGAGCCGCACGTAAACGGACCTTTCACACCCGACTTGGCTCATTCGATCTCTAAACTGGGTAATTAAAACGTTTGAAACTTGAAAAAAGATCTGCTTCTTTTATCTCTGTTGTTATGAAGATATGTATAAACATGACAGGCGATGCCGCAAAAAAGAACGGCTGGCCAAATGAAATCAAGGTCGGCCTAATCGGTTCCTGCACCAATAGTTCCTACGAAGACATGGGTCGATGCGCGAACATCGCCAAGCAGGCTCTGAAGCATGGTCTCAAAGCAAAATCCACATTCAACGTCACTCCCGGATCCGAGCAAGTCCGCGCGACAATTGAGCGCGATGGAATTGTAAGTTTTCTCCAATTTTGCAAATATTATGCATCTCTTTAAAATGCATAATATTTGCAAAAAAATAATTCTTCAAAATACATGATTTATTAAATAATAAAGAGTATCAAAAAATTATCTACATTACATGACGTTATATTACATTGCGTTAATTTATTCTAGGCTGAAATTCTTCGTGATTTCGGCGGCACGGTATTAGCTAACGCTTGCGGGCCCTGCATCGGCCAATGGGATCGTCAGGATATCAAAAAGGGTGACAAGAACACGATTGTCACATCGTACAACCGAAACTTTACCGGTCGAAACGACGCTAATCCGGCGACTCACGCGTTTGTCACCAGTCCCGAGCTAGTCACTGCTCTCTCCATTGCTGGTCGGCTTGACTTCAACCCCCTCAGCGACAAACTAAAAGGCAAAGATGGGAAAGAATTCCTCCTGGACAATCCGTATGGTTAGTCGACAATAATAATTTGTGTATGTTTGTGCATATAATTATCATCGAAGAGAGAAAGAGAAAATATGCGTATAATGCTTATATAATTTTTAATGCAAAAATTTATAGAATATATATGTATATATATATATATGTATGTGTGTTTATTGCTAATAAATATATTTATGTGCTTGTACAGGTGACGAGTTACCTAATCGCGGTTTCGATCCCGGTGTGGAAACCTACGATGCACCGCCGGCAGACGGTAGCAAGGTCAAGCTCGACGTGGATCCGAAGAGCCAAAGATTACAGTTGCTGGAACCCTTCGACAAGTGGGACGGCAAGGACTTGGAGGATCTGACGATTCTAATTAAAGTCAAAGGCAAGTGCACGACGGATCATATCTCCGCGGCCGGACCATGGCTCAAATATCGTGGACATCTCGACAATATTTCCAACAACTTGTTTATCGGGTAAGCTTGAATGTCTCACGCAAGTAGAACGACAGAATGACAAATCGCTTATGAAATTAATATAAACTTAATATAAAAATTTGTAATAAAATAATTAAAATTTTTAAAGATATACAGATTTTTTTGCAGCTTTTTTTTTATGAAATTAATAAATGTCACTTCGATCGTATTTGTTCTTGTTTCAGAGCCGTTAATGCCGAGAATGGCGAGGTAAACAAGATCAGGAACCAAGGTACAAACGATTGGGGCACCGTGCCGGACGTTGCACGCGATTACAAAAAGAAGGGCGTGAAATGGGTTGCCGTAGGCGACGAGAATTACGGCGAGGGTTCTTCCAGGGAGCACGCAGCTCTGGAACCGCGTCATCTTGGCGGTCGCGCCATCATCGTCAAGAGCTTTGCACGTATCCACGAGACGAATCTAAAGAAACAAGGTCTCCTGCCTTTGACTTTCGCCGATCCCGCCGATTACGATAAGATTCAACCTAACGATAAGATTAGTCTTCTTGGATTAAAGGACCTGGCACCTGGCAAGGTTTGTGAATGACACTTTACTCGCGTGAAACTATAGGATTTTAAATCTGAGAAAGCATCAAACATCTATAATCTATTTTTTTTTTAACATTCCGTATAAAATTTCCGAATGTCTCCCGATTTATTCGTTATCACTCTTGCAGCCAGTGAAAGCGCAAATCAAGCACAAGGATGGCAAAGTGGACACCATCACTTTAAACCACACACTGAACGAGCAACAGATCGGTTGGTTCAAAGCCGGCTCCGCCTTGAATCGTATGAAGGAACTTTCGAGCAGATAAATCGAGTATCCGGAGATTAGCCGATTGTTATTAACGCGTAACGCATTTGTGTGAAAATGGAGAGAACGTGCCGCCACGTCGCAGAAATGAGGCAAAGTCGATCGAGGTGCATAACGTCGTTATCATAATTCTATCTCCTAGAGATAAGCGAATTATATATACGCCATAGTGCCTGGTAGCCATCATAGTCCATCGTGACGCGAATGTTTAAACGTATATCGTAAAAGCATCTAAAGGATCTTAATCTTTTAAATGTCTTTTAGATATGTATTTAGATGCGTGGTTATTATTAGGAAAATCATTTTCTCTTTATCATTGATTTCTCCTTCCCTTCTCCCTCCGCCCTCGCGCTTCTACTTGACAATACTTACATCTTACGCGACATGGAAAAATAGTTTGAGACACTCTCTCCCTTATTCTGCGATACACCAAAGTAATTGCGATCTTATTAACGGATCGTTTCTGAATCGCGTACAACTCGTGGCGTTGTTACATGTACATATTACTTATCATTACCAAGAATGTAGTGGTCTCGCCGTCGACGAGAACAAATAAATTATTAGTCAACGAGTCGCACATGATTAATTCCCTTATTTTAAGAGTCTTCTTGAAATAAATATAAGAAAAACGAACTGAAATTAATAGAAATAATAAAATAAATGGAAATTAGTTTAAGATATACTCCGAAAATGATATGAAAAAAAGATTAGCTCTTGGAATATTCTCTTTTTCAGCAGTGTGCAAATTAATTGTTGCTTTGATAAAAGACATCGAGAGTTGAAAAAATCAATTGAGGTAAGAATAATTATATGTACTTTATTTGAAAATAACGTTGATTTTTTAGACATTTAAATTAATTTATGACAAAAAATTATGAAAAGAAAAAAATCGCCAAGAAATTCTCTGCTTACATCGTTGACACGACATATGTGTCGACCAGGTGTGTTTCCATGGCGACAGCGTAAGGTACAATGCCACAAACAGAAAGTTAAGAGGTTCCTTTGCAATTGTTCTTTGAGTGTCTCATAGTTTATTCTATTGTTAAAAGTTTAAAAAGAAATCAACGCTGTTTCTGTTCGATCAGTATGGCAGTGGAAGGACAATTTTTTCTATCCATTACCGGGTCCATTGAGCACGCAGAGTTCTATGATACCGATAACGTTTACTGCAAATACAGTTTTCATTTCGGACCGGAATGGAGCGTAGTCACGGTAAACTCTTACAATAAAATAATAAAAGAAAGTCAAAGGGAGAGATCAAATCACGTTAGAATCGTCACAAAAGGCATCCTCTCGGCAATCTAAGCCATTTTGCAGCATATTGGATTATATCTAAAAGAAAATTGTATACAGTCTTCTCAGCATGTGTCTGTGTGTGTTCAGAATATAACGTTTCCTTTTTATATTAATGAATACTGACCGAGGTGGAATCGAATTAATTGGTGAAATTCCATCGGTTGTTATATATATTTTATTGTTTTTATTTTCTCTACGCTTTTACCTTTCGCTAATAATAAACCATTGCGTGGGTGTAAAATGCAAGAGTTATGCATCTATAATTCCATAGATTTAATTATAATTAATATTTAAAATTTATAAATTATGCAAGATTCAATATTCTCCAAATGTACATAGAAACTGTTGTATTTATTAGTGCATGTTTCGTTCCGATAATAGATTAGTTTACATAATATATAGCTTTGGAAAATCAAATTAATTAAATAATAGGATTCATTATAATCGAGAGACCGACCATTAATTTCGATAATACTTTAAATATGGAAAAAAGTGGCATATATCGCATTATGTTATTTGCAGAGGCTAATAACATACAAAAATTTGTATTGTTAATTTGTATTATCTGTTCTAATTATTCTTCTCTTTTACAGGGAATCGAAGAAGGTTTGACGCAAATGTGTAAATGCAGCAATGATCCAAGGAATCTCGCCGTTTGGAATTTTCCCCTGAACATTACGTTCAAAAGTACAAATCCACACGGATGTAAGAGCAAACTAAGATTTTATTTTATATATTATTATTTTTATTTTTGTTGCATGCATTATATATAAGCGTAAAAAATATATATATAATATAATAATGTATAAAAAAAATCTCTTGGCCTGCTTGTATAACGTTTCACGTTTTCCAAATTACAAGTAATACATAATTTATTACAGGGCCACAGCTTATTATGTCGATCTACGGATTGGATTTGTTCGGCCATGACGTAATTAGAGGATACGGAGTGTGCCATTTGCCTCTGAAAACGGGACATCACGAGAAAAGGTATTGTTCGAGTAAAGCATGCGGAAGAAAATATAAATCCTTGAAAGTACGTCAGAAATTTATGCCGTAAAAATATTTATATTTTCATGGCGAGTCTCAGCGTTCTTACGGAAAATATTTATCTTGCGATCTGTAATCCAGATGTATTATAACAACTGAGAAAAGGTCGAATATACTGCATTACTCATTGATTTATAGAACATCTCTAGTTTGCGTTGTGTTGTCCTTTGGCAAAACTCTTTCAAACCCGGCTATCGATCAGTAAACGAAAATAAATTTCAAATTTTCCGTGGCCCGGAAACGTCACTTTTTCTCTAAGAGAGAAAGAAAAAGCGTTTATAAATGAAATTATTATTCATAAAGCTGACAGCGTTAGCTGCCAACGAGAGAAACGAATCTCTTTCTTTGCATACGCGTGATTTAATATTTTTTTTTTTATCAACTACAATACGTTATGCTTTACGATCTTTTTTTGCACTTTCATCTATCGCGGTTTAAGGTAAACGTTCGCTTCTCTACATTCGCATACATCGCATGTATTGCGCATACATCGGAGGGAAATATGTATTTTCTGCCATTCTGTTATTCCATGTGAAACACGCATTTGCTAGTTTGCGTCGCGTGCGCCAGAAAATCCGATCACCGGATTTCACGGAAAAACAATTTTTTCCAGGGATTATATACAACGCGTTCCCACGATAAATCACTTCTACAATAATATAGAAATAGAAAATACGATGAAAGACGGGGAAGTAAATTCATTATCTTAAATTGAGCGATATAATTCTCTCTTACATTGGATCTACAATACCATTCCTGAAAACGGATTTCTTCGATGATGAAATATTGGATTTTAGTATGCACAGGGAAATCGTATATGCATAAAGCAAAAGTCTCCATATTCAAAACATCCGATATGGTGCTCAACAATATTTGGAAAGCTCCGATATATAGACAGAGCGTTCAAGAAACTTGATAAAGAAGAATGCGATACGTACAATGTATGCGACATGAAAATATATATTTTCGCAAGTGACGCTTTCTTAGTTGAATCCATCGAAGATGGATATTCGATCATAATTCTATATATACGTCTAAAACTCCGCATATATCAATCGTTTTGAAATATGTCAGATCCTCTGAACGTATTCCCTCTGACCAAACACGCTTTACTAAAATCTCGAAATCACGCAGGGTATCTATCTACGTACCGGAATCGTCGTCCACGCTGCAGCGTTTCATCGAGTGGTTAACCGGCAGGAGACCGGAATTAATTGATTCCGCCATACTAGCATCCGGCGGCGGCAGAGAACGTAAGGAAGTGCATCGAGACGTTTCTCATTAGTGCCTCCATATATATTAACGTTAAACTAATTATATCCAGCACAGGCTGTTGAACGGAAAGTGTGAGATCAGCGATGCCGTATGTATATTCGCGAAGTCATCAAATTAAATTGTTCTATCTCGTCTTTCTCAGGATCGAGCAAAAGGGATTAATCTCTCAACTTTGTCATGTACAAGATAAAACTTCCGGGGAAAAGGGGGAATTAATTACTTTATTAATTAATTAATATTATTATTTATTATTAATATTATTATTTTATTATTTTGATATTATTAT